TTACCCTCCCTGCTTTCTTTTATTTTTGAGCAGTGTTCTTTTTTCTCTTCCTGTGCTGGGATAGTAAATCACGCTGAGTTGTTAAAAGAGGGACAAAATTGTCCATGCAGGGACAAAACAGGAAACCAGGCAATCAAAAGGGTGAAACACAGTGCGTCACCCAGTAAGCAAGCGCTGCACGCTCATCTCTCAGAGTTATGCTTTTCACAGCGCTGATCACGAGTCTGGTGCTGCAGCAGCTGGGCGTGGGGACAAGTTGATTTTTTTCTTTTCCAGGCATGTGCTGACAGTGCATTGAGCGTAATGCTGAATTGATGAGACACAGCGAATGGTAGTGCCCTGGGCTGGGATTAGGCTGGCCTGGCACATTAGCCTGAGCACAGCTGAGTGGGTAATTGAGCGGGTGTATTACCTCCTCTGTGGAAGTGTCTTTTCAAAAGTGATAAAATATTCACTGGGTGATCTGCTCAGCAGCTGACAAGAACGCTTAGGCCCGGCTCCATTTATCGACTTGTGAGTACATAGCTGTCCCGGCCAACACCCTCCGCCAGCTGGCTCACCAAACTCCCTTCATTGATCGCAGTGGCCAGAACTGCAAAAGCTGCTACCAGAAACCTGCTTGGCTCCTGATGAACAGGATCCTGCAAAACCATGATGCAAATCATTGGGTGAGAGCAACCTCCCCAGGGCAGATCTCAGTGGGAAAGTCTTTCTGTCTCCTATCTCCATGAAGTACTAAAATCAGTTTGCTGGAATCAGGTCACATGCTTGGTTTGAGGTTCTTATTTTTCTGTTTTCTGAAACCACATCTCTATTTGCAGAAAGCTAGGAACAAAACCTAAGAGTATTTTCAGCAGCAATGCATGAGGTTTGTGGGTATTGTCCATGATGACATGAAGCCTGAATGGCAGGGACTGTCTCCTCAAAACTTCTGGGGTTCTGTACCTCTGGGTAACTGTTTGTGTGCAGATCCTCTATCTCTGCGTTCATTGTGTTCCCTGCTTCACTCACATTTGGGCTTTGGATATCTCTAGAAAATAGATACTTTTATCTTCATGGTCTTGCAGGAGTTAATGATTTTATCATCTTTCCTCTTGTTTATCCCTCTCTCTGTTGCATAGGTGCCAGCCACCCTTTTCTCACAATGAGCCTAACTGGTTAGTATAATCTATGTAGATTAAGAGCTCTTTCTTTTTCTCTGTCTGTAATTAGCCTGAAGTATACTGCTTCCATTTTATAAATGAAGCCTTACCTGATTTTTCCAGAAATATCAGTTGGCTTTATTAAAAAAACAACAAAACTCTCTGCATGTACATTTCGTGGAAAACAGAATAAAGTACCAACTTTTGGTACAAATGCTCAAAGACACATTTGATCACATATTTCAAACAGCGTCTCCATTTCTGCTGCCTTGCTTTCTCAGGGAAGGGTGGGCTCCCATTGCAGAGGGACCGGGATCAGCTGGCTGCAGCGCTGGGCTGGCTGGGCAGCAGCACAGGCAGGCTGAGCACCATGAGGCTGGCGGGAAGCCTGCCAGCCCCAACCTGTTCTCTGATCCCCCACTGTGTGATTGCAGTCACACGGGCAACTCTCTGCAGCTGGCTGTTCCTACTGACTTCATTTCCAGTCAAAGTAATTAGTGAACAACTGGTCATTTATTAGAGACTGGTGGGGTTTCTGTGTTTTCTCGTGCCACTGGTTACCACCAGGTTTAGGTAGTTTGCTTTTATTTTACTTCTGAAATAGATGCAAAGGTGCCCTGAAATTGGAAATAAGAATTAGGTTTGGCAACAAGTCAGAAACCAGTGCTTTAAGAACAGTCATGTTTGTTCCAGACCTGCTACAATACAGCTAGTATACTTTTGTTTCCACATCCTCTTCCAAAAGTAATAGGAAATCAAGCTGCTGGTGGTTTATATATAATTTTATGTCAAGAAACCATTAAATACTGATATAAAGGCACACCTGTGAACTAGTATTTAAACACGTCTGTTCCTTCATGTACTTGATGTTTCCATGTATTTTCAATTTTGTATCATGCTGATGAGTGTCTGAGGAGTTATATCAGGCGTCACCTTCTCCTACAAGGGGAGGCACCGTCAGAGGACCTCTGTCATGAGTGATGGTCGATGCCAGCTTCCCTGCTCCTTCCGGTGGCGTTGATGGCAGCTCGTGGTGCATCCCCTTTCTCACCACTCCAACCACTAAATACAGTCCCTGAATTCTTAAAAAAAAAAAAAAAAAAAAGCGCAATGTCTTGTTTTCTCAGCTGTCTGGATGCCCTCAGAGACCCTGGCAGCTGACCATGAAGGGAAGTTGTGGCCCAGTATCGCAAGGGCTTCGAAGGTGGTGACTCCCCACCGCAGACACCCTGAGGTTTGTGTCAGAGAGCTCTGGAGAAATGGTCTGACATGGTATCGCACCAAGAAGGGAAAATTAAAGTTCCCTCCTGAGGGTTTAAGGAGGACTTTGTAGAGCAGTCTGGTTGCAGGGTTGTGCTAGATGTAGCAGAGAATATGTAAGTACTTAAGAAAACAGTGTAGGTGCAGTAGGTCAAAGTGGGACTCCAGTGAAGAAAATCCACAGTTCACACTGAAGAAAGTCGCTGCTTTCTTAATCTGCATTTGGGGTTTGCATGGGTTGTTTATACAGGGAAGATACCGATCTCTTTGTAGATACCAGCCACCCGGCAGCCCACAAACTGCGAGTGTTACCATTTAAGCATCAACAGCCACCCAAACTGCAGTTGTTTGTCAGATTAGTGACCTAGTGCTAGCTCCTCCACTAACAGGTGCTTCTGGTGCAAACTCAGGAAAAAAAAAAAATCATGGGAAGGCTAGCAGCTGGGATTGTATGCAGATTTTGCTGTGAAATCATACTTAAATGAAGCCAACTCAGGTGCTGTTATGAGGCACTAGGGCACTGAATGACTGACATGTTGCAGTGTGCAGATCCACAGTTTAACTGCTGGCACAGGAACACAGATCTTAGTCACTAGAGTGTGTATACCCACTACAATACGAACTTTCTTTCAGCATGTCCCGAAAAAGTGGTTGCTTTTAGAGGCCCGGTGGTTACACTGGGGAGTGCCAAGTCCCTGTTCTTGCTCTGTCCTTAATCACCTCTCTTGGCCCCTTGAGAACAGGACCAGGTTACAAGTGATCTTTTTTCTGATGCAGTACTGGTACTCTTAGCTTACTAGACCAGCCTCCAATTATGCTTGGGTTTAGGTTTCCGATTTAAAAAATGCAATATTATTTCTCAATAAATTGGTGACATCAACAACTATTTGTGTTCTTATACAGAGATTGGGGGGAGGAGGAGAGAGAGAGTGTGACTATGTATGTATAAACTGTATGTATAAACATATATATGCACACATACACCGTATACATATTTTGTTTGCAGGAAAACTGATTTATGAGCTTTCATAGTCAGAATGCACAATTGCATTCTCCAGTATAAAGTTGGCTGTTACCTAAACCCTCACAGTTTTTCCTGTTTCCTCTTCATTCTCCAGTATTTAAGTGTTGCATGTGTTTTGCTGTTGATAGCAGAGATTCACGAATCACATGATGAGGAACAGAATAAACAATTACACGATGTACTTGCTGATCCTGGGCAGTTGTCACTGTTAGAGCCTTAAACAGTGCCAGATAAAGACCTGCAGAAAGAGTGCTTTGATACCTGAAGCAGTACTGAAATCACATCCTCACCCCCAGGATAACAATACCTAAGTGTAAATACCTGTCATGTATAATTTTCTGTCAGCCTTTATTCAGCCTGCCTCTTCTTTATGAATAATAGAACATAGCTATAAGTTTAAAAATAACCATTGGAGTTTCTTGGCAGGAGTATTTTTAACTCCTATGTATGTCCTAATGTAATTCACAGAGTGTTCTTAATAAAGTCTTGTACCAGCATGGCCGGGGGCATGGAGCAGGGGTAAAAAGGAGCAGATGGGGCAGGAGTTGCTTATGGCAAGATGGTTTTCAAAAGAAATGTCCATATAATGAGACAGGAGGGTTGTAAAGACATTAGGATGTCTAATAAGTGACCTCAACCCCAGGTCTCACACCCTTATCACTTAACATAATCACACATTTCTTTTAATTAATAATTTTCGCTCTCATTGGTCAATGAATGCCTGCTAGTTTCAGAGCTGACTCCTGATATCCTTAGGCGGTATCAAGTCTGAGAAGTGGCACTAGGGCACCAACAGAACGGGTGGGCTGGAGGCGGCCAGGAACAGCAGCATAGCGTGTATGGAAGGGCAAGCTTCAATCTGAAATGAGAACCTTTCAAAGTAAAAGAAAACGGAGGTGTAACTGGCTTTATGGCAATAGCTCATCTTCTGTTGCAGAGGACAATGGATAAACAGGGAATATGCATGATTTCAGTGTCACATCCGTAGCAATGGTTTATTGTAATTTATGCCATTGAAGGTTACCTGTCTGTAAATAACACAAGGCATTTTCCTGTTGTTATGAGAACTGAAATACCCTAGCAACATTACAGCCTTTTCATCTTTATTAATTACCCAAGACATATATAATTTGGAGCTTAAACACACTGTTTCAGACAGCACAAGGCTTTCGGTCTTCTTAGGGCTGACAAGGTAAAAAGCACCTGCAACAAAACCTCTGGCAGAAAATCCACATAATGGCATTGCAAATGTTGATGTGAAAATCCTGTCTCAAGCAATGCCAGCCATGTAATGTCAGATGTAAAACTTCAGATCAAATGCAGGTACTGACACAATCCACTTCTTTTTGTTAATATTATATAAAGTAAGTTGCTTTTGTTTAATAATCAGGCCTCTGTCTCTACATTTGCACTGCATAAATCAGAGTTAGGGATTTTTACATTTGTCTGCATGGAGAAATGAAATTTTTGTTTTTCCCATCAACCATTCTCACTATTTTTCTTGTTCTCATAAAGTGGGATTTTCACTGGGATGGGTGCTAATTGTTAGAATCCACCATCTTGAAAGGTATGGCTTTTCCTGTAGACTGAAGATGGATGCACAAGGTCTGATGTGGAAGAGCCTTTAGCTGCTCTTCTGGTGTTTCTGTACGCAAGCGAGGTATTCCTGCACATCATCTGGAGAACCGAGTATAAGAGGGACTCTCTGGTGAATACTCTCAGGTTTCACATCCAACACCGCCTCAGTCCCTGTAGTCGCTATCCCACCTGCCTGCTCAATGATGAAAGCCATAGGGTTGCACTCGTAGAGAAGTCGGAGCTAGAAAGAAAGAGGGAACACATAATTGCCTTTGGGGGAAATTACACCAAAGGACCTACCAGAACCTAACCTTCCTTTTGTGGTTTTGGAAAATTTTGTACCAAACATCAATTGACCTAAGTAGTAATGTCTCTCTATCAGCCCCTCCTTCTTCCCTCTCCTCCTCTCACTTCCCTTCACACCTTCTGTTTTGAGGACCAGTGTACTGACCCTGCATCCAAGCACCACCACCATTGTTTCCAAGCTCACATACTGATGTACAGCATCAGTGAAGCTGTGTTTTGTAAAAAATATCAAAAGTAGCTGTCAGGCCACAGACATCAGCAAAACAGTTAAGCCGGCTAAGTTAACAGTGCTGGGAAAGAAAAGCCAAAATCTCTTCTCATGTACAGGCTTTATCTGTTACCTCAAAGCTTGGGGTAATCGCATTGTGTTTGGTCAGGATATTTTGGAGTTTGAAACTTGATGCTCCCAGTTTCAAATTTCAGTATTTGATTGCAGCCTTCAGAAATGTGAATAGATACTAGTGGCCTGAACCCATCCAGATAGTGACTCTGTTTTCAGAAGTAACTGCAGTAATTATTAAAAGCAAATTATTAAAAGCACTTTTGGTTTGGACCCTGGTATCTGTTTACGTCTTTAAAAATATTACCTCTGGGGTGCCTGTGTTCTGGTGAAATGCAAACTTATTTGGCACATACACCAAAAGTTTCTGTGTTTAAAAGCTGGTTACTTTTTAACAGACATTATTTCTGCAGGTTTAGTTGAATCTTTGCTGGCCTATGAAGTACTCACATACAACAATGTTAGTACACATTACGTTTAAAGGGCTTTTCGTATGTGCAAAAGAGTGTTTTCTGGGGGAAAGGAAGCATGACAGAATGCAAGTGTATACAGAGATAAAGAAATAGGTTGGACACAGGACTTTACTACCCATTATTCCTTTATCATGCTGTTTGTAATAAAACCATGATATCACAAACTTAAATAGCACATATTACCTTCATTCTTATCTTTAAAGCGCACTGAAGTGCTACTTCTGGTACAAGAGCTGCATCTGACAGGCAACATAGGACCAATAACCTTTGTTGTTCTCATATAGAATTGTTTCTGGGCGTCATATAGAATTGTTTCGTTTAGGTTGGAAAAGAACTTTGAGATCATCAAGTCCAACCATTAACCTAACACTACCAAGTCCACCACCAAACCAATTAAGCGTAGAGTAATAATTAATTTCATGTTTCCTGGCTTGGTGGCTGGATTATTTTTTAATGAAAGTAAAACTAGGAATTATTAAGGTTGGAAAGGACCTCTAAGATCATCAGTCCAACCATCAACCCAACACCACCATGCCTACTAAACCATGTCCCAAAGTGCCATGTCTGCACATTTTTTGAACTCAAAGGATGGTGACTCCACCACCTCTCTGGGCAGCTGGTTCCAATGCAAAAACCCTTTTGGTGAAGAAATTTTTCCTAATATCCAACCTAAACCTCCCCTGATGCAACTTGAGGCAATTTCCTCTCATCCTAAGATGAGATGGCCATGCACACCTTAGTACATGGCCAACTTTTGGAAGATCATGAGCTAGAAAACAACAGTGGTACCACTGTGGAACAATGTGTTGAGTTTCTTGTTGCTTAACTGTGACTACATGGTGTAAGGAAAGCAGTTTTCCTTTAGGTAGTAGTGCAATTGCACATAGGGGTCTTCCGACGGGATCTATCTTCAGACAGGTTTAACATTTTTTATGTAGTAGAGAACTATAAGCCTTGAGTTCATAAAGAATATTATTTAACATATCTGATTTGAAAAGAGGGTCTATTTGTTGGCTGTTTCTGCACTGCTTATTGAGCATTTTGTTCTCATTCTTTCTTTAACTTAAAGAAGGAGCTCTATATGCTAGGGCCTACATGCATGTCATTCACATTTGCTGTAAAGCCTTTGGATCAATTCCAGTGACATTTGCTTCCTCTCAGCTCTCTATCCAAGTACATAGACTGTGTTTCAGGGGGGATGATGATCAGGGCACCTGCCACAAAGGCATTATCTCTCCAATGAGAAGAGGTTTATGTGAAAAAAACTGTATATACCTGCATGAAAGGGAAAGAAGAAAACTTTTATTTGTAATGTTAGTACAGTTTTGCTTCTTTCATTACTCTCTCTACTATGGCAGGGCAAGCCAGATCAATCCAATAGTAAGTGTAGGCTAACTCATGTGGAAATCTTGATTTCTATAAAATTATAGTAGTACTTCGTACATTTGTTATTGTATTCCATTTCTCATCTTTTCCCTTCAGCAATGGTTTAACACAGATTTCAAAACAAAAAGTTTAACCCACTTTGCCCACACACAGCAGATTCCTTTTCTGTCTCTTGCTCTGATACACAAACAGATCCACATTGTTTAATGGGGTTTGGTTTTGGTTTCTGGGATGCTGTGTCAAATATTTAAATCAAATTTGCCTGGACAAACATGCAGACATTTTCTGTTGTGTATTCTGAAGAGAATGCTTCTCCTGTTCTCCTTGTTCCCTGGACCACTTGGACCTGCTGTTGTTACGATAAATACACACTCACCAGGATGGAAACAGTAGTACTCTGTCACTAAAGAACTGTAGACATCAGGGTGTCGTGATACCAGCATGGGAGATGGGGCAAGTAGTTTTATGAGGGTAAATTCCTGCACATACCAGCCAGGGATACAAAAACATTTGAATAGAAGCTTTTAAGTATGGTATTGACCAGGAAAGAAGGTTGTCTTGGAGTTAAAACACCATGACCAAACTATGATGGATTGAGCCAATCGTTTCCTAAGTATCACCTGCAGGTTACTGGTGGTCCACAGATCAGCTGTATAACCACATCTCTTTTAAAACATGTTTTTTCAGAAGTTTGATAATGAGGGTATCTGATGCTGTAGGACAAAAGTTGAAATTGACCATGGCCCAGCAGATTCAGGGAGTCACTGTATTGCACTACACTGCATTAAGTCATGATGTGTTTTGTATAGGTGTCCAAATGGGAAATCATATTTCCCCAGAATACTGATCTCAGCATGCATGAAACTCACCTTCCACTGACAGAGTCTTTCAGAGCAGTTAGTAGAAGCCTGTGTTTGCAGGCTGGTGATAATAAGCTCAGTACCTTTTGGAAACAGTAGGTAAGCAAGCTGCGTTGTCTAACATTGGACAAAACCCTTTCTGGACTTCAATGAATCCCACCTAATTGCCAGTACAAAGTGCAGAGGTCTTCCTTAGGCCTGTGTTGTTTGATACTAGCTGTGCATAGGTATCTCAGTGGGGTTTTATGGTACTGAAATGTTTCCCTTTAGAAAAATTAACAAAGCCCTTGGTTGCAGTGAAAACCATTTGACTAGTTTGTAATATAAAAGCACACAAATTTCTTTCTAAATTTCTTGCCTAAATTTGATTGCTGACCATCATATCCATTAATAATTTTCTCCAGGGATGGAAAAATTATTATCTGCTTATATATCTAAACTATTTCTTTGCATCTCTGGGAACACCAGAGGTATTAGGTTGACTAAGTTCACCAGATAGTAAGTCAAATGATTTACCTTTCCTTTAGGACTCTTCTGATTAGCAGGATACATGAAGATCCCACCATACATCAATGTACGGTGAACATCAGCTACCATGGAGCCCACGTACCTGGCACCATATGGGGAACTGCCATCCTGAAAAACATAAAGTAAAGCATTATCTACCAGGCTAGACAGGTGGTAGCACGGCAAAATGTAATTTTGTTGTAAAACAGTAATCAAAGCTGCTTAAATCGATGGCTGCTTATGGGCACTGTAAATGCCTAAACCAGCCTGAAGCTTAAGCCTTTTGTAAGTTGTAGTGATCACCTATGGGGTTCTAAAATAAGCACTTTAAAGAGCTGCATTCACAGTATGGGAACCAGGGTGCCTGTAGTTTGAGTGCACAATTTGGTATCAATCCCCAGCCTATGAAAAAGCAAGGTCTGCAAACAGTGAGTGAAAGCTTCTTCACATCATCAGAACAAGGTACTCATTTGACTGCTGATCCTTCACTGGTTCCTAAGCCAGGGCATGAGGAAGGATGTCGCTTTTCACTACATGTCCAGATGGTTCCCAGAGGACTCCAGCTTTTTCTTTCTAGTTTGTTTGTCAAGTTGTGAAATTGGTCATAGCCTTCATTCTGCAGCTTAGTTGGGGAGGTAGCAATTTATTTATGAATGTAATTTTCCTTGCTCTCAGCTTAGAAATTAATGTGTTGAAGGAGAGGTCATTTTAGTGAGAGCAATCAGGGAAGTATTCATAACAGTCTTAGGTTTGCTGGTCACAAAAATGATAAGGTAGGAAATACAGAAGGCAAGCAAGGTCTCCTGCACAAGCAGAAGTTATATACACCATGTAAGCTCCACCTGAGAAAAGCAACACGTCACCATACTTTATGAAGGGGAGATACACAATACAAACGTAAACTGAAGGAAAGCTTTTTGCAAGCTACTATGCCAAGAAGTCTGTTGCTCTTTTGATATCTCTCACTCTGTCTTCAATGAAGCAGAGGAGGGATTTTTGCCTCCCCCAAAATTAGTAGAGACTGGGACTTCATGAACATTTAATACACATATATATTTGTGTATTGCAATGCTAAAAGTTTGAAAAGACCTCTGCATGTTTTTTCTGCCTGTTGTGTAACAAAAGATCTTAGTACTTTCTACAAAGCTCGCCTTGTGCTGATACTGGATCCAGAGAAATACATAGAGAACTTGTTCAGCATTGTCAGCTCCAAGATGTTCAGACATCACAAGTTAGTCACCCTTCCCAGCAAAATCATGAGGTTAGCTGGGATAAAAAAATCCACAGTGGGAGGAAAAAACACAGATAGAGATAAACGTAATTCTATTTTGAAATCACTTTTTCAAACTGTTTTATGCAACTGTGAAATCTTGATATTTATTTTCTTTTAAAATGGGAAGAGATTCTGCTAAATTGCACAATATAATGCAACAAAATGCTAGGAAGTTGAGTCCTAAGCTGCTAAATATAAGACTTGGATATTTGATATAGCTGGTAGTAAAATTGGAACAGAGAACTCTTCCAACCTATGTAATAATGCTTGTTTAACTGTGCTTGTACTGTTTTCCACTATTCTTTCTTCTTGTACACATTAGGACAACTATTGAAAATTCAGAGAAAAACAAAACAAAGTGTGAAAGTCATGATGGATAAGACACAGCCTGGCCCTATTACTTCCAGGCACAACTGAACTATACTTTTAAGTATTTGATCCCTTATTGTTTATGGCTTACCCTCAAATAATTACCTATTTAGACTTCCAATGATAGCTTTTCCATCTCACAGGGGTTTGCACTTGTGAGTCTGCAACTGTAAAAATCTGAGGTTGGAAAAAAACACCTGAGGAGGTGTTAAAGAGAGGCCAAAGCAAATTTGCAGTTTAAGAAAAGACAGTTTTCAGGGAAAGATGTGATTACAGCTAAAATTACCTTTAAAAATACAAAGGAAGAGCTCTCTTTTATGGTTTCAGAAGGTGATGAAGCAAGTCTTAAGAAAAGTTTGTTAAACATTAAGAAAAATCATGGTGTATTGATCATAAACAGGCCCTGAAACAGACTACTAAGGACTGCTTCTATGACATTATCAAATAAGGAGTCTGCAACCCACATGTATAAAATTAACTCTCCATGAGCTGCACAGCTGAGCCACCTGTGTACAAATCATCAGATATGTTTTGGATGTGCTGGATTTCCTATTCATGTGCAGGTCATTTACACAATTTATGTGTACATGGGCACTGTTATGTGAAGTTGATGAGATGCCACTGACAATTTTAGTTGTTTCTCACCCTTAGAGAAATTCACCTGCTAGAAGCACAGTGCTGAGAATGTGCTGAGAAAAAAATAAAGAGGAGAAATTCCTCCATTCTGGTACGGTTGTCATTTGAACCACAGACTGAAATAAAATTTTCACTTCCCTTAATGTCCAGCTACCTGCATGGGAAGAATAAACAGTCCTTTTAGTTACTAGCAATGTTACTTCTTGTTTCTCCAGTTTGGTCACTCAATAATTTTTCTTACAGATGAGAAAGCTAATAGGTGTTGCATGTGTGTTGGCATATTGCCCAGGCTTTCTTCTCAAACAAAATAACAGAGCATGAATGCCAGGGAAATTCATCCCAAGTTCTGAGTAATGCCAACAAGCTGTGTGTTTGTCCAGTGAGCATTTTGCACTGGTTCGGCTGATGCTAATGAAAGAGTTGGAGAACCTTGATGTTCCTTTGGTGAGCATCCATGGTGGTTGAGTAAACTTGTGATTGCTTTTCATTTCACCCTTTCCACAGCTTTTCTTTACTTAACCCAGAGGAACAAAAATGGCTTATAACAGATAGGTCCTGTGATTTTTTTCTTTACAATGTGGTGGAAGCAATTTTCTCACTTCTTTGTTCTACTGATTTCTGACAGCTATGTTCCTCCACATCAGAACAAGACCATGTTTTTCTTGCATAATTAGGATGACTAGGAGAGTGTGTGTTGGGGGGAAGTCTTTTCTACAGACTACAGCAGCAACGCCCTGCATCCCTCCCTCCACATATAGTTATGGTGGCAAAAGCAGAGTGGTTTTATTAGCTTTTGTGTGTCACTCAGGCACAGCTGGGCTGGCTGGCAGAAGAATGCTTCATGCTGAAATGTGCTGTTGATGATCAGTTTTTGACAGCATTGCTAAGACAAATCCTTAACGAGGGAGTCTCCATTGCATACCTCTCAATCAATAAGCTGTGATAAGACCCAACTTCTCTTGTGGTTGTAGGAAGCAAAGATAAAAATGGGTGGAATAGCAAAGTACAACAGTGCTCACAGCATGTTTCTGAGTTCTACCATCAGTGAACCAGTGCCAGCTAGAGGCTAGGGCCCTGCAAGCATTACTGGAGGAATAACCTACTTTGGGAAGGAATTAGAGTGAAATTTGTGCAGAAACAGTTCCTGGCGCAGCTGTACCCACTGTACAGTGCAGACTGCAGTAGATGTGTTGCATTACAGGCCACCTTGCAAATAGCAGCTTGCTTTTCAAGCTGGTTAAGCAGCAGGAGATTTTGTGATGCTTAACAAAAAATTAGCTTTACTCGGGACTCTCATTCCAGAAGACATGTGTCTAGACAAATATTTCCCACTAAGATCCACATGGCAATGGTAGGAGGTCTACAGCTGACCTGCAGAACAGCAGCACTTTTCCAGTGCATTTAATTCAGAATTGATGCCTTAAGTGAATGGTGGTCCACAAGAAGCTTTGAGAGTCAACATGGCTTTGTAGTCCAAAGTGTCTTATCTGAGATGCTGTTGTTAGATAATAAGGGAAAATCTCTCCTCTCCATATAAATGGTTGATTTGTAATGTTTGGTCACCAATGACAGTGATACGGAACATGGGACATGTTGTGGACAACATCCTACTTTGCCTGTTTTGTTTTTAACCTTTCAGTTCTCTGTGGCAATGTTAGAGAGTCACCTGAACAGCATGTTGACCAAGAACCACAGGAAGGAGGAAATAGAGGTAGGATCGAAGGAAAAAAAGGGATAAGAAAGTGACAAGTATCTGAAATTAATGCCTAGTCACTTGGCTTCTAGTGGCCAGAAGACCATAGGGTGAGAGTAGCTGCCTGGGTAAGAAGGGATCCCCCATGCCCGACACCTCAGTTCCCCCTCAAGTCACAGGCAGGGGGGGGGGGGCATCCAGCAGATACCCCCCACTGCCCTTCTGCATGCTGAAGAGAGGAAGACAAAGACCAAAGCTGTGCAATTCTCCACCTGGGTTTTGTAGGGAAGGTAGGAGCATCACCAATGTAGCTGTAGCTGGTAAAGTAAGGCCAGGAAGCAGGTTTCATGCTATGGAAGGGTGGCAACACCTTCTCTCTCTCCCTTCCACAATGAAAATATAACATCCTTTTTAAATGAAGGAACTGAGTCATGCTGTTCCCAAAACTCAGGTTCATAACAAGCTTTCAGACAGGCAAGGCACTTACTGTGCTTTGTGGCCATAACATTGGTGCCTTGGCCCTTCTCACGCAGATGACCCTACGTCTCAGAGCAGCAAAGCAATGTGCTTGCTCAGCACCCTTGAGGAGGCTTCCCCTGCTCCAGATAACCTGTGCACTACTGTGCCACTTGCAGTAGAATAACAAAAATACTTTCTGCCAACTTCTGTTGCATGAGTGCAACAACACTTTCAATAGGTTTTCCTCAAATGAAGCACAGATTTGAGATAAAATAGTGTTTGCAAATAAGGTTTTTCCTGTATGTCCTAACCTAAGGATTTAGTCAATCACATGATAGAGCTATCATCACTGAGCCTGTGGTGAAATATTTCTGTCTGGCCTTTCCACTGAGTTTGAAATCTCTTCAGTCTTTTTATAGTTGCCTGGGGTTGATTATTTCTTTAAGAGTTTGACTTTGAACAACACTTGGGTGGTTTGCAAAACCACAAATTCATACATCTAGTGTTAGTGCATTATACTGAATACATAGCTCAGTGTAACACGAGCAGAATGAGAAGCACAGATCTCCTTCTCTTTCCCAGCTGGATTCGTTTTCAGGAAGTATGAAAGTTGTGTTGTGGGCTTCTGCTTCTCTTGCAGCTGGACTGAAAGCAGACTTTGAAGTTTCAAAATAACCTCAAATATTCAAAATGAATATATTTAAAATGCTGTGATGTGACACCTCTGTAGTGGCAATCTGGATAATATGGAAAAGAGGTTTTGGTAAGAGGTCAGCATCGCAGCTATATCCAATGTAGTAAATTCATATTTTCAGCTCAGAAGGACCTTCTCACAGAACTATAGTTTAAACTCTTACCTGTTACATTTCCCTTATACAGCACCCTGAAGTTTTCTACTGGATACATTGATTTTTACATGAGCCCTGTATAAGTATTCTTAATAACTAATAGCTTAAAAAAGAATCCTATGGCTTTTTTTAAACAAGAAGAACATTAAAACCAGTTTCCTGGCCAAATTCAGTCCTGAGCAGTTACATGTCACCATATTTCATTGTGACTTACTGGTCACATAGCCACACTTTCTAGAGAGCTTCCAGCTTTCCACATTAAGAGCTTATGTTGTGTCCTCCTTGCATTGACTAGAGGCCATACAGAGCTGTATGTCCCCACGAAGAAGTTCATCAGACATGGGATGTTCTCATCTTTATCTCTCTGAGGGATACAATATAATCCTCTTAACAACACAATATAGTGAAACTGTGCTTCACACCTTTTTTTTTTTTTTTTTCCCAACCTATGGGTTGGTTCATGCTCCGTATGATGCAAGGAGACGGTGCAAGAGTGATACTGCGTTTCTCAGATGCGAGCATGTACAGGAAGGAGAAGGTGACACCACCCAAATCCCTGCATGCACCTTCTGGGCAGTACGTGGAATCCAGCCCAAAATGCCCAGCTGCACACACAACTGAGCTGCATATTCAGATAAGCTAGAAAACAAGGGTACCCCCACATTTTGCTGGCACAGTTTCAGAGCTTTGTCGAAAAAAATGTTTCTTCATGTACAGCACATTTTCTTCCACACAGTGATGAACAAGCTATGAATTTACATACCAAAGTCTGTTATAAAAGATGTCAGGGCACCAGAAACCAACACATCAGATATACATACCCAAAATGGACCTGATGACACGAAAGGGTTACATAGGCCTGAACTCAGCAAGGCCTTCAAATCCTTTCCTGTTGGCCAGGACTGTGTAGAAGGCAGTGCTTGCCAGTCCGCTGTACATTGGGTACAGAGTGCTAATATTTTCTTACCTCAGGGAATTTCTTCTTTTGTAAATATTCTGTCATTGCAGGATCAAAATACTTTGCATAACCTTCATTGAGACTGTAAATCTTCCCTTTCTTCTTGATTTTAACATCTTTGTCCACCAAAATAAATTCACCGAGCCCCTACAGAAGAACAGGATAGACCAGCTATTAGCAAGCCGCAGAACATTTTGTTGATTTTCTGTAACAGTTGTCGCACGAGAGATGGCAGAAATGCTAGCACAGCTTGGTCCTTTCAGCACCAGTCTTGTGTACAACTTCACAGTATTTCAAACAGAGCAGAAAGCACAAAATCTGCATTAAGTTCATGAAAACTTGTCACATTGGTAGTATAAACAAAAGGCAATTCGACTGTAATAGCATATCAAATGAACACCAGTCAGCCTGGAAAGCAGATGGATCGTGGATCTCTGTCCACAAAACATGAAGTTACAAATTAAGAAATTACACTGTCTTCTGATTTTTGAACTGTTCTTGTCTGTCTTGTCTAAATATCTTAAAATGAATGTGGTCATCTGCCCTCAGGTGTTGCTGTCTGCACTTTGAGTGCAGCTTCCACCTTCTCTTCTTCTGTCTCTAACCAGAGCACTTCAGCTCCCAGTTCTTCCCTCTTGGAATAAGCCTATTTATTAAGGTCAAAAGGAGTTTTGATAATAATGCAACTTTTATCAAAAAGAACTCCTATGTTATTGCCCATGTCTAGTGCTGATTTCTCAAATGCGCGACCTCCTTCCTGCATTCCTCCAGTAACACTTATTGGGCTCCTGGGCTGGGCACAGAGGGGCGGCACATGTCTGATTGTGTGCATGTGGTTATGCTTTTGCAAATTGTTGGGTATGCAACTTAGAGGACTTAGCCATAAAACTAAATTGCACTCAGGAAATTAGACATCAGTCTGCATGAACTGTACCAACAAATGGTCCTTGCCACAGGCTAAACACTGAACATGCTGAGGTTCTTCTACAGTCAGAAAAAACATGAACAAGAAAAATGCAGGAGTCCTTTAAGTGGAGGCAAAGACACTGTTCAGAGTAAATTTTCTTAAGTGTTTGTGCAAACCAGCAGTCTGGTTTGAATGAGCACTGTTTCAAATGCTATTTAACTTAAACTCTCTCTCAGTGGGTAGGAGAAACAAACAGAGGTATTGCAACCAACATACTCATGTATTATTAAATACTTGTAAGGTGGAGGTGGGATGCTCCAGGATGTGGGTAGGAAAAGGAATTCTGTAGATTGCCTAGATTACAGAGACAAGGAGTAACAAAAATGAGTAAACTCAAGCACAGGAAGCTCTAAAAGATAGTGGCAATGTGATTAACACCATGACTGTACCGGATCTAGCATGAAGCAGTCCACTCCTTGCCCTGTGGAGAGGGCGACCAGTGTAGCACTGCCATACAAGGCATAGCCTGCAGCAACAATATTGCGTCCGGGCTGCAAAGCATCTTTTTCAGAGGGCTCGTCGTCTGTTTCCTGAGGAAAAATTACCATTGGACTGAAGGTTAAGTTCTTATAAGAAACAATAAAAAGAACACTTCAATAATAATGTGGGGCAAATTTCCTTTTTGTGTCTACGCAGGCCTTTGAAACAACCAAAACAGAGATTGTTCCCACTAGTTCAGGACAAGTTTGGTACAAGTACATGTGCACGCTGGGACAGGACGTTGGGAGTTTGTTATTTTATACACGTCATGCAATCAATACGATACCTGCAACAAAGCTCATACTTCAGCATTACAGCCCAGTCTATTAATTCAAGATCATCAGAAATCTGAGACAGAACAGAGGTACTAATTTTCTGTAAATGTAAACATAAGCTATCACACTGACACCCCTCAGAGGGAATAACTGTGAGGTGAATGTAGTAATTAACATTATAGACAAATTTCTTCCAGTAATGTAGAATTAAAGGGTAGATGGTGCAACATGATGGAAACAAGATTGTGCATTGGTCTCTGCTGGTGAAGAGATGGGTAACTGAAGTGATATAAATGTTCGTATTATATATAAAATAACAAATGCATTTGCATATGTAATGTAGGCATGTGCAGGTATGCACATTTAACTCTAAACAGAACATTCACGTGGCATTTTACGTGAGGCTTTTAATGAATTTCCGAAACTCATATTTTGATTTGGCACTCTGGTTATCACTGAACAACAATAGCTCAAGAGGAACTGGTGCAACTATTTCCAGCCAGCTCTGGGGGTGTGCCTCAGCCACAGCTTACAAGAGTTTGAGTGGTGGGTTAAGAAAGGGGAACAGCCAAGAGTACTTGGGAAGGCTGGCTCCAGCCTTCACCTCCTGGGACTACAAAATGAGTAGGGACTGCTTGATACTAATATTTCCTTAAAAGCTCATCGGTTGTGGTGGGTCTTCTGTGGATGTTTTGATGGTGGTTCACGAGGAATTAAAATGAAATTCCCCTCAGATTCTTTCTTCAGGCCCTGGTTTAGCGTTTTATTGTTCCAAACTCAGACAATTTCTCAGTGATTGCATGGGCTTAATTAGATTGTGTAGCAGCTAAATAGAAATAGCAGATCTATCCCAAAATATCTGGTTAAAAAAAAAAAATCAGTGAAGACTGTTTTGTGTAGGAAATAAAATGTTTGATGGATATTGAGTAAACTCTTTAAAAAATCAAGAATGCCTTCCACAGATACTTTCCACAGGAAAACACCTCTCCTCCAACAAACAGAGAAATTCTCTGCTGTTACTTATGGCATGGAGCTCTCAGGCTGACCATGAGGGTCCTTGTAAGGTGGAGGGCTAAGGGTAACCTGGAGATTCTGTTCATCATTTTATGCCAAAACCTAGAGGAAAACTGAGATGTGGGACACCAAACCTACATCTTTCATGGCATATGAAGACAATGATTCTACATGAAAATGTTTTCATTTTCAGCTGAAAGATTTTGTTGCTTTTGTTACTTATGCTTACTGTTTTTTTAGCTGTGTTTTGCTCAAAACTTATTATTATTATGTTGCCAGTTCTTCTGTGGAGAAAAAAAAAAAAACAGTTGCCAACCAGTTCTTCATGGGAGCTGAAATATAACATGTACAAATACATGTGGTATGCAGTCCCTTGGAATTACTCTATGTCAAGCTGCTTATTCAGAGAGGGTATAATGCACCTAATGAAAGAAGACTAGTTAAAACCCTTCTTTGTATACTCCAGAGCTTTGAATACTATTAGTGGCTGATCCTTTGTTAAATAATCTTTTACAGAACCAACTGTTATACCCTACATAGCATCTTCTCTTTCAAAAATATATCCCCATGGCACATACATCTCAACATCAATCAAAACCAATGGTTGTCTAAAGCAGACTAATTATTTGCAACATTAAATGCAGAATTAAATGTATATTTACACCACTAGTTGCAAACATATTATGATTCTCCTAGCTTTTGTGTGCTTTCCTCATTAAATAAAAATTAATTTTGTGTAAATACAATAAAGAGGTTTGTTTTATAAAACATGGTGTATATACAGTATACATAGCTGCTGGTTATATATGATATTGATTTAAAATATATTTTTCTGAAATTGGCTTTTCAGTCCTATCTCTTAAATGCATTTTCTATGTCTGTATGGCTGAGAAACCACATATTCATCGATTATTCTGAAAAAACAGAGGAACTCCTCCCTCGGGACATGGACAGTTGGGCACAATTCGCTTGTTTTTCCATCCTTATTCACAACTGTGTTTCTAAGAGCCAGCTTCCACAAGGGAGGAAGAAAGCTCAGTTTCAAACAAACATTTTGCAGAGCTTGTTAGAATGTAAAAAAGCTAGAGATCAGCTGATATTTCATTGTTAGGACTGCAGGAGTTTTGTCCTGCCAAGTACCATGTACTGTGAAACAAACCAGAGAACTGAGCTGGCTGGTAGACCCTGAGAGCTGCTGAATATTTTCACTTCTTTCTGGTGCACAGATGTATTTCCTTTCTATTATATTTTGACTATGAGATGGCGGTAGTGAAATCTCTTTAGAGGTCTTTATGCAAAGCACTGAACAGGCAGAGGGGCGGCAGAGAAGCTCTGACAAGCGTCAGTAGAATTCCTTTGGCTTGTTGGTATGAAGCAGATGAAACAATGTCCACAGAGCCTGGCTGTAGGGGTACCCTCATGTGGTATCTGAGTTTGAAAATTTTTACATGTATGATTTGCCTGCATCACATGACGGATCTCATCATCATCTCATCAGCACTGGGAGCAGCTCTGGAAGGATTTGGTTTCCAAGTCTCCATTTGTACCGTGTGTTTCATGAGTATCCTTTGAATTTGCCCTGAATTCTTACACCTTCTCTGTGAGTGACCACATGGAGGGGAGGACATTGTCCTCATGACAATGAAGGGGGAGGAAATAAAATGTCTCTGAGGCAGTGGGCAACGTTACCCAGAAATTAAAACCAGAATGAAACAAACCAGCAGATTTTCACAGCATGTAAGTGGAATATGAATTAAGAGTTGTAGATTCAGTTCAGTGGTATGAAAAATTAGGAAGAATCCAAGAAAAAATACTTATTGTCACCACATCCTGACACTCCAGCAGCTGAGAGCTCCTCAGTAGCAGTGACTGTCAAGGTCCTATGCCTTGCTCTGGTTTCTGCTGATTCAGCAAGGCTCTTCCCTCAGCCCCACTTTTCTGATGTTTCTGGTCTTTTTAACAATACAACCCATGATTCAGAAAGCAAAAGCCAGGGGGAAATTAAATAAACCTCAGATGGCATTTATTTCCCAGCGGTTTTTCTCTAAGAAACTGGTGCAGTGCTTTTCTGGCAGGAGGCCATGGTACCTGCCACCATGGTGGTGGCTCTGGATTGGGAGCAGCCAGAGAACCATTTTCAGGTTTGAAAAGTATTGGCTAAGTCTGGCCTTTATAGAAAAGTGCTGATTATCTTTTTTTTTCTTAAAATGAGGCAAATATTTCAGTTCTGGATGGTGTGCCTTTGGAAATGAAGTTCAGGTGCTGAGGAAATGCAGTTAAGGTGCTGACATGATGAGAAAATCAGTCATGCAGTCATCTGAGAATTGGAAGGTACCAAATATCAGACAGGTGCTGTGGATCATCCTTTGGAATTACAATTGTTCTAGCTTTTCTAAAATTATGTTCATGAACCCTAAATGTCTTGAAATTGTATTTTCTTTCTTAAGTGATTCTCATCCACTGGGATAAACATCTCACTTTTATTCCTTTCACAGTACCCTTCACTAACAATCAATGAAGCTCTTATTATTATTTCGTTATTTCAAAGGGTTGGAAGTTATTAGTGTTTGAAGTTAATACTGTTGCTATGAAACTGTCTTGTCTGAGAGGAAGGCGCATTAATTAACGAGTACTCTGTACTTTCCATTTTAATGGAAAGAATTATGCAAGTGGAAGTCTAAAAATTCAACATTGTTTCTGACTTTCCAGGTAAAATTGGTAAGTTGTTCTTGTAATTGACAAACTATGCTTCATCCTAGCAGCAGGGTTTTCATTTGTGTATGAAGCATTTGTACAAAGCAATGTAATTTCTTTTTATGAAGCGCTGAAGTGTATCCACCCACATGAAAACCAGTAACTTAGAAACTGTATTTACAGCAAATATGTTAATATATATTAGAAAAATAACAACTACAGAAGGATCAGAAAATGAAGTGAAAACTTGAACATTTGGGAATGACATGAGTTCTTTGGGAAATGTTTCTATTCTGAAGCAGAATCCTAGGGAAGACTGGGCAGTCCATAGTCTTTACACACATTAATAGGTGAGTTAAAGATGGTAGAGAAATCTAATCTGTATTTCAACCTGCTAAGCTATATTAATCACACTGAGCATTTGCCTGTATAGCTACACAGAGTAACATAACACAACACTTTTAAACAGAAAGCTAATGTTTAGTGTTTGTACGATGGTGCTTACTGCCTTTAAGAATAGTGGACAATACAGCTATTGCCTACTGTAAATGTCGGGAGGTGCTGTAGTTTTTTAGGCTATCTTTAGAGGGAGAAATGAAGAGGGTGGGGATCCCTTTGCTTACCATAAGGGCACGTGACACGGATTGCATCCATACAGCTAAGCTCTCTTCCCTGCAAAAAGCAAGGTGGTAGGTGGTACTGGAGGTAGTCCCTGGGCTGCTCTTTCCAGAAGCCATACCCAGGCATCGTCTCAGTGTTGTCTGGCCTGGGCTGCATCGGTGAGGGGGATTTGCACTAACCATTAACACACTGTTATATGTCTTGTGCCACGACCCTGTTAAGATTGTGCCGTAAGTATTTGGTTTACTAGTAGATACGTATTCTCAACAGTGTATCACCTACCAGAAATGTAAAAAACAAGGACTAGCCAGTTGAAAATCGTGAGTTAAAAGATGAGAGCGGACTTCGTATGTTTGAAGTGTAGTGTCTGAATCTGCAAAGTCTCCTTTGCAGTCACAAGTACTGTGAATGTTATTTCACAATAGTGATGGCTGAGGGTCTCCCATGGTCATATGACTGTGAGCTCAGGCTTTGGGAAAAACACCAACTGCTGGGAGATTAGCAGTCAAATCACAAGACTTGGCATGACTCTTAACTATTAACGTTTGTTAATTGGCTGGGCAGTTGCTGTTCTGTGCAGCCCCATGGGAGCAGACGTGCTGGCAGGGCCCCAGTGGCTGTAGGTGATTGCTTCCTTCAGCCTCAGGTGGCCTCCATCATTAGCATGCTTATAAATCCCCATCTGTAACAGGCATAGCAGCTTGCACCGGGAGGCCACCACACTGCTAACTGTGACACAGTCCAGGCAGTGACCGTCAGCCCTCCCCAGTTATTATCTGGGAAGACAAATACTGTGATTTGTAGGCACTGTGACACCCCTCAGCTCTCCTGCAGCGAGTAAAGCCTTGCTGAAGGAGCTAATCAGATGCATGATGGTGAGAGGGGTCTGTGTAAGTGCCTGTGTGTCTGGAGGAGGTCAGTGCTGCCACCTAACAATTTGACAGGGCTGAGTGTCCCCTTCCTGGGAATTCAGGCAGCATTTTAGCATACATGACTCTCAAGTGTTACCTCTTCTACTCTTTCTAAGGCTCTGTTGATCCCAAAGACACTTAAAGGACCTAGGAGAGAAACTAAGCAAGTTGATATACCCAAGACATTTTGCTTTCACCAAATGAATCGTGCCATGTGTGCTTTGTTCATCCTCTTACCTTTTTGTAGATAGCAAATATTGTTCCTATCGGTGCCAAGCAGTCTATATTGGATGAGCCATCAAGGGGGTCAAAGCACACCACATATTTACCCTAAAACAGAAGTGGCAAGGTAAGCATTAAATGATATGTAGTCTTGCACTATTATTTCCTTCTACTTGACAAAACCCATGTTTTATGACTGCATTTAGCCTCCAAGTGCACCTGACATGGCTTGCCAGAAAAGGCTGCACTGTTGACCCAGCTGGCCCTGCAGCACAACACCCACTCCCTGCAGGGCCTGCCAGAGAAGTAGGAGATGGCATGTTTCTGCTCAGACAGCACAAAATCTCATGATAGAAAGGAGCAGCCCTCTGCTGCTAAGCAATGCAAGAAATCGCTTGAAAGCGAAAAGACTCGTTCTGGAAGCAAGCATCTTCCTCGAGTAAATAGGTTTCGTTTTGTAATGTTTTGTTCTGCATGAAAGGATTTGCCTGTGATGTGAGGTTTGAGGGTAAAAAGGCAGAAAGAAAACATCATGGGGAACGGGTAGGTTACCTCAGTGTGAGCAGTATCTCGCTGCAAGAGGATCCCCTCCTGGGGGAAGCCTGATGAAGCAGTCAGGTGTTTCCTCTGGACATGTAACGTAAAACCCAGTTCTGCCAGCCTTTCGTCTCATTTTATCTGCCTAGATATTAATGTAATCTAAAACCGTTACACCAGCGGTCAGGGAATGTAATGGTACACTTACACCTGGGACCTGGGGGTGTGTTAACAAACTCCAAAATAATTACTCTCCCCCCTTCACAAAACTTTAATAATAATTTTACCCTCCACAGCTCCTTTAGCTGTGGAAACCATGCCATCCACGAGAGTTATTAATCAAAACGATGCAGTAGTGGTGCAAATTTTCTGAATTCCCCCGGGAAGTGTTGGTTTTGGGGCCAGGCCCATGTTTCATACTTGAAACAAGAGTGCCACCTGCTGCTGCCCGAGCCCATAACCCCCTGAAGGCAGGAGCTGCACAGACCCGCTTGTCTTTCGGGACGATGATGGCCTCCTTGTTCTCCTCCGTGACCAGGACACAGGTGCTATAGGAGGACTGGAGCATATTAATCACCAGGTGGTTGGATAATACGTCCAGCTTCTTCACTTCATCACCGGTCACGTTCACAGTGCCAGCTATACCAAACCTAAAGAAAAGTAAAAATATCAAGAAACCTGAGGGAGGCCAAAGTTACAGGCTTGTAGCAAAAAAAACAAGTCAGGGCGGCTCCTTCCTCTCATCTTCCCATGCCTCTAACCTTTGGATTAAACTGCTAAGGTGCATTAGGAGCCAGTTGCTGCTGCTAGAAAATAAAAGCATGCATGAGAAAGAGAAAGGGCAATGGCATAGTTTTGGGGCATTACCTGGGTCCTTTTTCTCCTGCATGGATGTTCTCCAGGCCAGGAGCAGAACCCACAGCCAGACCAGTGGGTGCCAGGCTTCCCCAGCAGACCCACGAAGCAGCTAGCAGCAGCTTTGAGGAAGGAGAAGGAGCAGTTAGCATCTGCTTTATTTTCTGCCACTGGCTGCTGAGGACTCTGTGATGGTCCTTTAACCCACATCTGCTCAGTCCCCAGCCACTCCAAAATCAGAAGCTGTAAAGACACCCCCACATAATTCCCCATGCTGAACTGTATCTCAGGATCAAGGTCTGTTTTATTCAGTGATCCTCAGCTGAGTTAGGATGATGCTTCTGTTCCCTATCCTGATTTTAGCAATACAGTTATGATGTAATATATAGTAGTATACGTATTTCTGTGTCTTACAGTTGAGAAAGCACTGTATAGACCTAATGTGTGTGGTCTGGGCATCTTAGAAGTATAATGGATCATCCAGGGAATAGATACATCATTTTTATTCATTGGGGGTGGGGGGGTGGCGGTGGAAGAAGGAGTAAGGGGCAACTAATTAGTCCCTAGGACATTGGTCAGCAGCAGGCCTTAGTTGGGGGCAGGGTAGGTCTTTTGTCTTACTCATAGTTCAAAGCTGCCTGAGCTTTTCAGAAGTATTGAGCATTTTGGGCACTCTATCTTGGAGTGCCAAATTTGAGATATTGGAAAGTACCATGATTTGCAGGGAGTGCTAAGCACCATTGCCCAGTTAGTGTGTTTTCAGGCACATTCTCAGCTCAAGTCTATGGCTTGGAAAAAGTCCTCCTTTACTTTCAAATGGCAAATTTATTAAAAATTCCTGGTGATCTCTTTGAAGAAGTCACATCACAGTTTCCTGTTTGGAGGGTCTAGAAAAATCAGAGCTCTCTAACTGCACAAATGCAGAAGGATGCAAGCCAGTCGCCATGGTTGAAAGTTTGTCATGGGAAATTCTGAAAATTCATGGTTAGTTGCAGTAATTTGAATGGTGCGAGTTACTCATTTTTGTGTTTGGATACTTTAGATATTTCCAGTTCATCACCTGAAACTTTTGTTTATAGAGAGAGACATTTGCTCCTTAACATAACGGATGTTTTCCTTCTGAAGGGAAGATTCATCTAGCACAGTAGCTGTGTGTCCTGTAGGCTACGTGGCTATTCAAATAGAGGTTCTCCCCACTTATTAAATACTTCAGAGGTTGCATAAAGAAAGGTAAAAATGAGATAAAAGCAACTGTTCCTCTAAGTCAGGGAGGCAAAACAGCTCAGCCTCACCTAGTAAGTACAGAGACAAACTACAGTTTAACAGTTAGGGCGTAGGAGCCTAACGCTGCTGTTAACTTTGAGGATGTCTCATGTCCTTGCTACATTTTATGGTCCATGCCTGTAAAGTGAGGGTGATAGTACCAAGACATTGAATTCATGATTTGCAAAGGTCATTGAGGACTTCCACCAAATAATCAACAGAAGCACAAAAAAACCCCAGTGTGTCATACATTTTGGTGTTTCCACTGGCGAAAAAAAATAAAAAAAAAAAAAAGAAAAAATTACAAATGTTGTCTTTCTTACACAAATATATTCCCTGTCTTTTTTATGCATGTGTGCATATGTGCATACACAGGCATGTACAGAAACATATATTTCAATACACAACAAAACCTGTATATTTAAATGCATAATTTTATTAGGACCCTCCAGCTCTCTGAACTGCTTTGGATAGATCCCCAGTAAAAGAATGATACTGATGTCTATTTCACCTGGCTGTGTGAGGAACAGCTCAGTTCATTCCAGGCTTTGCTAAGGCAATTCTTTATTCCATTTGCTAAATCACTAGATTGTTATGTTTGATTTTCATATAGGGCCTTTTAAGACTGCCCACCTGTAATCCTGATACTACTTGAGGAAGGAAGGGGAAATACACTCATGCACGGCAGCATATGGCACTTTTCACAGGACTGTTGCTTTAGACTGTTGCTTATACTGCAGTCAGGCAGAACATCAGCTTCCCGAGATACACCAAGCCCTGATTTGCACAGCTCAGCACTGGGCTTGGATGTTAGCAGAAAATATCACAGTGGGATATTCTGCATTAAAAATACCATGGTGTGATATTCTGCAAATTCACAGTAGATTTAAAAGTAGATCAATAGCAACATTTACAAGGGATAACAAAGTGAGCAGTCATTGAAGTCCTGACTTATATTTTATAGTAAAATATTACAGAACAGCAGTTAGTCTAAATGTCTATCTTGTTCCCAATATTAAAATGCTCCAGAAAGAGAGATCTCCCACTTCCCACTCTTGATAATCCAGGCTCTGACATCATGCCTACAGTCACTCAGCTTAAAAAAGACACTTCCAATGTATTTATGAATCCCTGCCTTCTCCCCAGCCTTGCTGTGCAAGCAGCTCTCTTTCTACCTCCTCCTTCTCCTCCTCCTCCCCATATTGCTAGGTAGGACTCACATGTGGGCAAGGCCTGCCTTTCTGACTGCAGAGGAAATGGCCTTTATAGCAGTCAGCATGGAGTTGAGCAGCTGTGTCAGCTCCCCTGTCGCTCCTTTAACGCGGCGTCCCTTCTCCATAACAAATCGCGTGAGCGTCAGCATATCCGTTTCGAAAGGAGTTTTGTCGGACATTTTTGCTGGGTACCAGAGTTGCTATCTTCTCAGCTGGACGAGACACTTTCTTGCCGTGTTGAGATCCTGGGTAGCTGTTTTATTTTGAGGCGAAGCTGTTGGCTGCGTTGCTGGTCATAGTTTATTAAGATATTTCTGAGACCATGTGATTGAGTGCTCAGAATAACTGCACCCCAGGCTGGCTCCACAGCTCCTCCGGGCTGCAGGAAAGGAGCCTGAGATGGGACTACAGCTGAGCAACCACTGCTTAGCTGCCCTCCCCACACACTGAAATTAGTGGTGTGCAGATGTAGTAACATAATTCTAATTGTGCGTTAGACTGCTTATAATGCAAAACTCTCACTGGCTGCTTAGCTGGAAACTGCTTTCCTGTAGCTGCCACTCAACAATGAGCTCAGCATAGCCAAGGAAAAGCACACAACTTGCAAGGTACAAGAATGAAGGCATGGGGCATCAGCAACCATGGGTGCCATAGTGCCCCACAGCAGAGCACCCACCACGGTGTGACTCCAGGCAGTGAAGGTCCCTTCCCATAAAGCCTTAATCCCTGCTTGCTCACCCCCTTTTGGCCTCCTCTGCAGAGGAGGGTTTTGAAGGTGTATGGCACATCCTAGGGGAACCAACAGGAGGTGCAGGATGCATCTAGACATGCATTTATTAAAGATGTTTTATGTTGCTAGCTGGTCTGCTGCAATCCTATTTTAATGACTTCATTCCTAGTCTGGGCTACTTGTAATATTATAGGGCTTGCATGAATGAGAAGTACTGGTGAGCTGTGCCTTGACTGGTTACAAAGTAATTATGTTTTCAGTAACTTACAAATGAAGCTTATCTGATTTAAGCACGTCTGTGTCATAACTCACAAAATGAAATTCTGTGTCGGATTTGTTATTGTAGTGCAACATGTAAATATAGGTATGTTCAAGTTTGCAATTATACTGCCAGTAATTCCTTACAAGCAGTATACTTGGATCACATGATGCTAATGTGAAGGTAGACGGAAAAATCAGTGAACTAGGTGCATGCTATCTGGAACACTGGAATTGCAGATTTTAATTACACCACTATCTTCCCACTCAGAAAAGGCAGTAAGAACAATTACATGTTGTAGCCTTCATTGTACTTACTAGCAGCGCTCTCTTAGTCTTAAGCAGAAGATCTGGAAAGCCCACAAGCAAAGCAAGAAAATCTGGAGTTAAAGAGGAAAAGTTTAATTGAGTTTCATTGTTATCATTCATTTAACCCAAATTACTGTACTAAAATCATGCCAGGAAGACAGAAACAAAATTCGGTAACAAAACATGTACCTAGCTTTGTTTTTGTTAATAGGAACTGCAGCTGTAAGCAAAGAGTTTTGATTTCCCTTTGCATTCCTTTTCTAATCTTTAGTATTATTTTGGGTTTTCCTAAAAGTGTCTCTTCACCTATAAACAATACATTACTTGGAGACTTGTAAAGGGATTTGAATGCTAAGGTTTTCTACTTTGAAACCAGCCTCAAGCAAAGGTCTCAGGGGCTGACAGCGCTGAGCATTAGCAACAAGTAGAAAGACACAGGTCAGTGCAGCTTGCATCCTGTGTGGTTAGCTTTGGAGATGTTTTCCAAGTCTCATTCTAAGGAGGAGGAAGCACTGGCGAGCAGAGCTCCTCAGATGGAGCAACAGGCAGATTTTGCACTACATCCTCGAAGGCAATGGTGGAATAAGAAAGTGATCTTGATTTCTTTTTTGCTTTTCTACCACTGTGATCTGGTCAAAAGTATACGACACCATTCACATCACAACACAAATATTCCAGAGGTTTTTGCCAGGTTAGGAGACTTTCTTTCTTCAACCAGACTTCATACAAAACCAAAACATAACATTTTTAGGTAGCCCTGGCATAGGACATGGCACTATTAATAAAAGAAGGGGGATAGGTTTCACATTATACATGCAAAGGGATCTGCTGGCTAAAAGTACAGCCATTACATTCTGTACATTATTTCACCATCATGGCAGTTGTCAGCCTGACCAGTACTAAAATGCTTTCAATGCAAAATCTCTCTCTGGGTAGCTAGAATACCATCAGGATACCAAATCAATTTAGCAAATAAGAAGTGGGGTGGGGGTTGGCCTATGGTTTCTAACATTTGTCAAAACATCACATGCAGATCTTCTTTACTGTTGATTCCAAGTGATCTTTTACACTGGTCAAAAACACAAAGTTCAGATCATCTTCTAACAGAAAGTTTGTTTTGGAGTTAGTGGTTCAAAGGGTGTTCTCTGAGCTAAGAAGTCCATTATTTGTCTCTCTTTTTTTTTTTTTTTAACTGAAAAATCCCCAAATGCTTTTTATGGCTCCTGGCTACTTTTTAGTATGTTTAAAGCACAATGATTTGAGCTGCTGCTCAAATAACAGTCCTTCAATAAGAACTTAACTTACACTAATATGTAAAGAACACAGGGTCTACACCCAAGCTTTCCAGAAATATTGCAGCCAACAGTGGAGCAAGAAGAGAAATAAAAGAATAAAACTTGGATAAACACACAAGACTCTGTTGCATGAAAACTTCACCCTGTTTTGATAAATACTGTGATCCCACTGAATGATAAAAACCTGAATGGTTAAACTGAGTGATTAAACTATATAATTACCATGTAATGGGGCGAGGTACGGGGGAATCAGGTTGTTTAAAAAAAGTGTGATGATTCTTTACAAGCCTGAGAACCACTCAGTAAGATGGGTTAGAACAGCACGGAAAGGTTAAAAAAATAAACACCTCAGTTTCACAGATCTGTGGGAGATTTGCCCTCTAATATAAAGATTACACAAGAGCTCTCAGGGATGATTCACACTTCCACTGGCATACAGGCTAGCCCTGTGCCTTAAAGATGACACCTCTTCTAACTGATTTGAAATGTTAGTTGCTTGGATGGTGCTGGCTGAAATTGGAGCCAGCGACCTTTCGCCAAATGCCACAGTTCAGCCTCTGAGCAGGGCAGTGGGTAGTACTGCAATGGGGGCTGGCAGTCGATGCTGCCACGAACTGACCCTCCTGCCCCGCGTCGAGCTCAGGACCAGCTCTGAAAGGGTCTGTGGAAGGAGATTGCTGAACAGTTCTCCCCGCTGGTGGCTACAAAGGGGAAGCCGTTCAAATGTGGGCTTAGGTATTACAGATAGAAAAGAAAACCCAGCTCACAATGTGAAAAATGCGGACTATAAAATGTCAGCCTAGAGGCAAAACCAAAACACTGGAAACTGACCTAGCAAACACGGGCAGTATTGCCTTTCCTTCTATAACCTTTACCTGCTGCCAGTATGGTGTCTTAAAAATAGATATATGCAGCCCAGAGATTCCTGAAGAGGTTGAGGGCAGAAGACAGCCGAGGAATTACTATAACTAGACAAAAATGGCTGCTGTGGATACTGTCTGTCAAGTTGTGCCAACAGACTAGTGAGGCACTGTAGTCCAAACTGATATATGGGAAGCCAGAAAAAAGCTGTAAGGGCTTCCAACTATCCTCTGCTTAGTGTATTAAAGAAGAAAATGTGTCCAGCTATGGCTCTGGGGACAGGTCAAATTAAAAACTTAAGGATCTAAAAAAGTTGTGCACAACAACAGTCATGTACTTTCCTCTAGGAGCAGCATCCAGAATCTCAGAGAGGTTTAGTGCCCACCTCAGCATGCTGCCTGCTGTAGCTGATTTAGTGAGCCTGGAGCCTTTTAAAGTGCTATGGCATATATGCCAGAGATGGCAAGCAAGGAAATGCTGGAGACAGGAATATGCAATTCCCCTGGGAAGTGTTTCGGTGTGTGAGGTAGGTACCTCCACCCATTCCCAGCACCTTCACTCCTCATCAAAAACTGAGAGACATTAACTGTTTCTTTTGAAATTACAATGAAAAGACAAAACAGATGCAAAGATCGCTTTTTTTTTTTTCTTTTTCAAAAGGGGGAGCATGGCTGTAGCCCAGTGGTTGGCTGCTCACATGTAGGGCCAGAGGAAGCAGCATTGGTCCTAGCACAAGAAAGAGCAGCCTGTGAAGAAACGCCCAGGCCATGGGAGTCCCCGAGCACACAGCTATTCCACTCACTGTCTGGTCAGATGAAATCCCCTCCCACGCCACGGCACAGTGCTCACAGATCGAGGTAGTAAACCCTCTCCTTCCAGGCTGGACCCCAGACTGGCAACAAGGGCACCCCACCAGGAGAAGTGGGTTTCAGCTGTCTCCAGACAGGAATTAAACAGAAATCAGTGTACCGCATGGTCACTGTTCGTGGGACACCTGATTTTGCAGGTGCATATCAGGCAAAGTATGTAAGTCATGGTCTGCTGTTTCCCAGAGCAGAGTCTGGCATACAGAGGAGCCCGATCCTGCGCAGGGCCAGAGTTAAGCCCTCACAGCGTGAAAAGTGGGGGCACGAGCAGAATGAGAGCTCAGTGGAGATTTCCAGGACTGTCCAAATCCTTTAAGGGCTGAGGGCCCTGAAAGCCCTGTCTTCACTAACAAAGCCTCATCAGAAATAGCATTTTCAGCAGAAACTAGGCCATTCAGTGCCTGCCAGAAATGCCTTGTCCCCTATCACTTTGGAGAGCAGGTGCATATATACACCCACCTGAGGTTTTCCAGCATGCCTCCAAATGCCCCAAATGCAACCTGTGTCAGAACACAGGCCCCCAGGTGTGTTTGTGTGTGAACCCTCATAGAGCATGCCTCCACACCGTGGTCTCTAGGTTCCCACACACTCTTTTCTTCTTGTTTTGCAAGAAGAACCAAGCTCAGGCAGGTTATCTTCACTGATGTATCCAAAATCCTCAGAAGGGCAGGTGTATAGCTCATTGCGCCCATAGACAGGGGCTCCTAGACCATGGCTTGAGTGAATGTTCAGTGGCACTCTACCCACCAGTGACATCCACATGTCCCTTAGTTTGAGTTTGGCGAAGGTAAATGGGCAATGAGAAATATCAAAGATCTGCAGATTTGGACTGATTCAAAAAGCTTGTGAGCCACGGCCATAAACAGTACCCAGACAGGTGGAGAGCCCATCTAGCTCCCAAGCACTAACATCATGTTCCCAGCAGCATGCTCTGAATCAGCATATTAAATGTCAGTATGCTTTGTGGGGATCTTCACAACTTACTTCTGCTCGCGCAGCAGAATCCTTCTCCATGGTAATGCACACTCCCAAAATATCACAAAGAACACCTGGTGGGGGTTGCTAGTAACATACAGGTTCATTTTTTCATCAAGCAAGTGGGTTAATTTCTGGCAAATACAGCCAGCTCGTCACAGCAGAATGGTACCAAGCTGTCTACACATGCTCTTTATCCAATTCAAAATCCACCTCCAAAACATCATTTTCCATCCTTGTATAACTGGATCTGATAGGGTGCTAACTGGCAATATTAACAGCACATGTCAGAATTAACATACACTAACGTACATGTTTCACAAGTGTTAATTCTCGGCCAGAATAAGCCCAGACTGAAGTACAGTGAGTAACTTCTGGGGCCTAGAAACAATGTGTGAAGGTGTCCACACTAGCATTTATATTTATTGCTGAAGAACTAGAGACTGGTCTAGGAAAGGCCACGCACTGTAAGAGGCTGCTGAGTCTTTCCCCTAAGATTTTT